GGAATTCCGAGAATTTCAAATCGCGAAAATCGGGAATCTCGAAAACTCACAAAGTATCAGTAGAACATGATCTGCAAAGACGTTAAACCGCGAAACTCAGAACTGTCGAAAACTGGTAAAGTATCAGGAAAACATGATTTCTAGAGAAATGTTCTCTACAAAAATGAGATTTATATCAGGTATCTTTTCTGATGTATAAAAATATAAAGCATAAAATATTGTTAAATATTTATTTCTCAATGATTTTATCTTCAACCTGCAATTTTTTATGTATCGAATGATTCAAAATTAATCGATATAAAGAACACAATATATTATACAAATTAGGAGTATACATTATATATATTAAAAACTGCATTTTCCTTAAATATAATTTAAGTTGTAGGACGCAAAAAATAAGAGTAATAAAATATTAACATGATCTTTATATATTAAACTCTTTCAAATATAAACTTTATAAGAAACCTATAGTTTCTCCGATAAGGTTCTTCAGACACCTAATAGCGAGGATATTTATATATAACAAAATACAGTGTGAAATTGTTTTTTAATTATCCTTCATTCCAAGTTACTTATTTTTCCTTAAATTAAATTTGTGTGCTATCTCACATTCCTTTCTCACTACTCAGGGCGGCGTACCATGGAGCGGAATACGCGGAAGCAGAATCAGCGGATCGCCCTCACATTTTATTTGAAAATGGTGTAATCATGTTTTTCTTCTTATTAATAATTAATTTCCACTTATCTTTTTCTTCCTAAAGGTTCAGTCAATTAATCTTAGTAAGTGTTCGTCGTATCAATTGATTATTACAAAGTACAATAATTTCTATATTATTATTACAAATTTTCGATCTTTTCCTGGGGCAATAATGGTGTGGCGACCTTAGGCGCCCCTACGGTCTGCAAATAACTAATAAAAAACAAACTTTTTAGTTTCACATGATCATGTCAAAATGAGAAAGAATTAGACATGTTTGTTCTGTATTATTCAAATACAATTAAGAATTGCAAAGAGAACTCAGAATAGAGGAAATGTTTGATCCCGATGATTTTAGAATGAAACTGAGATTTAAACGCTAGATATAAAAGATTGAGCGTACTACAAACAAGCGCTTTCTACTGGAATCTAATGTACACAGTTGCAACAAATGTTCAACATTCAAATATTTGCAACTCGCACTGCTCACACTCGCATGATACAAATTATATAAAATACAATAATTACTTCATCTCCATACAGCACAGATATATAATGTAAAAATATTTTTTCAAAAAAATATCAAAATGTATATATTTTATTATTACTTATTGTTAATATTAAATTATCAAAAATATTATGTAAGAGTAAAAATAACTTGACAAAATTCTCTAGCCTATGATATACATAAGTGGATATTTGGTATATTTAACAAATCATGAATGTATTGGAAAACTTTCAGGAATATCCACTTCATATCCGTGCTGTGTGGGTTCCTATTTATTTTTCCATAATCTTGATTAGACGTTACTTTCAATCACCTAATTCGTATACAATAAAATAGATAGTGGGCGCTATATGTTATTACTGAATATTGACAAGGCGGTTTCGGGTGAATGACAGTATTTTGCCAATCATGTAAAGGAAGTTACTTAGTAACTTCGTGCATTGCTTGCGCCAGATATTCTACGTTCTTCGACGTTACGCCAGCCATGGAGATACGGCCATCCTTGGTTAGGTAAATGCTGAAGTCTTTTGTAAGTCTTTCCACCTGATAAAAAGTCAACAATAATCAAGAGAAATTTGATAATTGAGCATAATTATTTTTCATTGTCTTATTTAAAAATGTAAAAATCACTATCTAAGTATATTTAAATATCAATATAGAAAAAACAGTCACCTCGTTTGGCTTTAGACCAGTGTAACAGAACATTCCAATTTGATTCGTGATATGAGACCAATCACGGGTGCTGCCGTTCTTCTTCAGATTGTCGCGCAGCTTTGTGCGAACTGAAATAATGCGATCGGCCATACCCTTCACATCGCGTAACCACTCCTTTCGCAGTTCAGGATCGCTGAGGATCTCATTAACTAGACGGGCTCCGTTAATCGGTGGGTTTGAGTACATCGGCCTAATCAGAATCTTCAATTGTGATAGAGTGCGTGCAGCCTCGTCTTTACTAGAGGTCACTAGACTGAACGTTCCAATGCGTTCACCTGAAGAAATAAAAGAGAGAAATTAATAGATACATTAATGCTTTTCACTTATATACAGAAGTTTTACTTATACACATGAACATAGTATTTTTATTTGTACGCACCATAAAGACCCATATTCTTTGCAAAGGATTGAGCTAAGGCAATTTTGTGGCCTTCCTTAATGAAGTGTCTGACTGCGTGAGCGTCTCTCGTAAGATCTCCTATAGAAAAATGGATAGTAAAAAAACATGTTAGATCAAGTATTAAAATTGTAAAACTTGTTAGATTATAAGGCTAACATTATAGGTATATTACATTTATTATAATTAATAAACGTTAATAAAAAAATAACAGATTATATTTAGAAATACCTGAGGCAAAGCCTTGATATGCCATATCAAAGAATGGAAACAGATTTTTCTTCTTAATCAGAACAGACAATTCTGCCCATTGTTCCGGTTTGGGGTCAACACCGGTGGGATTGTGAGCACATGCATGTAGAAGGATAATTGATCTCTCAGGAATGTTCTATTCACAGATAACGTCATTAGTGTGATAAATATTAATTCCTTAAAAATTATAATGTTAATCCACGTGATGCAGTATTGATTTTATGAGCATTGTCTTGTAAATTTTTATGCCCACAAGTGTAATTATTATTTATGCCTGTTAAAAATCATATTATTAATATTTAGAAAACACTTTTGTATTAGTACACAAATTAATTGTAATTTTTAATAATACGATGCAAAATTCTGTGACTAATGTTTGGATATTTTTCGCCAATACGTGCACGAACGTTTAAAGTAGTTATCTTTGTTAAAAATTTTGTACTAACGGATATGTCTTCCACTAATCCTTTAAAATCTAGACCACATGTTTTTGGATCGTAATAGCGATAGGACTTGACTGTAAGCCCAGCAAGTTTAAACAGAGGAATGTGATTTCCCCACGTAGGAGTTGGTAGATAAATGTCCTTATTTCCAGGAAAATGATGAGACAGGAATTGTGCTCCAACAAACAGAGAACCAGTACCAGAAATGCCTTGGACCGTTGCATTCTGAAAGGAAAAATCTTTGTTAAGAGAAAGAGCTTTTATACACATTATTCTTATCGAAATACTCACCAATCCATTCGCGACAACTTCATTTCCATCCCCGAGAGCCAGATTAATACTTTGATGACAAAACTCGAGATTGCCAGCGATTGTGGAGTATTCCTTATCCATTTCTTTCATTCGTATTTTCTCTTCTGCCTGTTGTGAAATAATTCAAAATACCTTATATAGTATATTATGTAACACATTCTTCTCTTCGATTGATCGATCTTATTTACTAACCTTACGAACACTCGGAAGAACATATGGTTTGCCATTGTCATCCCTATAAGCACCAGCACCCAAATTGATTTTTTTCGAATTCTGGTCTTTCTTGTAAGCTTCGGTGACCCCCAGAATGGCATCCGGTGGTCCCATTTCAACATGAGACCACCATGAGCTGTCAAGAATTTTTTTTTAAATAAATTACAGTTATCTTTGATTTCTTATCAGAAAGATAAAATGTTATCTTTCAAAAACAGACTGTTAATCAACAACAGGTGTGGCTAATTAAGCACAAATGAAATTTATTACTACTGCAATAAAAATTCGATAGCGATAAAAGTCCAAAAATGTAATCTTACCAAAGATAATTAATGTTTAAATACCAGAAATGTATTCTTCACGTTCTGATTTTTATTCTTTCTTTATTGTACACATATAAAATGAAGCAGATATATTTGCAGACTTTTGCGATTAATTAGGTGCCAATTAATTTAATTATTGTATCCTCTGTGCTGGGATTTTCGACACCCGTTTCTATATAACTTGGCGACTGTACTCTCGCAGAGCCTTGATTAAAACAATTAGGACTACAAGGGGTCTATCCAGACCAACTTGCACAGGTGCGCAAGCATACGCATACAAAAATTGATCGGTCCATTTCCTTGCACGTGCATTTACGGCCCAATCAGATTCCTTACGCATATGTTGGTGCGTTACGCAAGCTTGTCCGGCTAAGACCCTTAATGATCGAAATTCCGATCTCTCGACGGAGATAACGACGGCATCGCGTTTCAATTGAGGAGGAGAGCGAAGTGCAGCAGCTGGGCAACTTCGCCAAGGTCGAAAGGTCATTCGCGCGCTTCAAACGGACGGACGTCTCACCTAGATAATCTCGCGGCCATCGATAGCGGATTGCTCTTGAAGAAATTTGCGGTTGTCACGAGCAGCCTCGTAGCGTGTGCCATTTGGAGTACGATCCTTCGCGTTTCTCTCGCCTCCTGAGCGTCGAGCCTAACCTCGGTTGAAATTGGACTCCCGACTCGACTGGACCGTTGCCGACACACACTGCCGACTCGGGCTGACTGGAAATGGTCCTATGATCCGCGAGACTCTGACGACGACCGGCGCCGGTCACATGATCGACGCGTTCTACGGTCTGCGGTAGAATCGCGCGGAACACGGTGAGGTTATCGCATCCGCGTTATCAACGATTACGTCCAAGTGGAGGTCTCGTTTTCTCTACAATTACCCCCTCGCGTGTATAAACGCGCCGTTTACAGTCGCGTCAGTCGCGTGACGTTGCGATGTGACCGGGCGATCGAGCTTAGATAACGAGGACTCGGTGTTGTTCCGACATTCAAATTCGTGGATTCGCGTTTGCCGAGTTTCTCTGTCGCAACGCGAAAGACTCGTGTAATTGAACTTTTCTGAAAGCCTCAATCTCGTCGCGTTGAAATATTTCCTTTTCAATTTTCAGAAACGGCGGGTTTCTCGCGTAAAGGCATTTTCCTAACCTGGTCTAACCTAAAAGTACTTGAGTGGTAAACATCAGAGAGTTGACTGAACAACTTTTAAAACTGGAAGTGCTTGAAATGATTGAATGATTAGAAGGGAGAACGACCGAGTGTGCGTCTGTACGTGATGGCGGGGAAGATAATAGAGCCGACCGACAAGAAGTTGCTTTACAACACCGTGCTGTCGCAGACGTTTTCGCCCGATGGAAATCACCTTCTGGCCGGCAATCTCTACGGGGACGTTTCAGTATTCGAGTAAGGAAATGTTTCAGCGAGAAATTTGGTCGGTACTTTCCGGACAGATCTCGTAAACTACCGATTCTTCAGGTCAATTGCTCACTTTCTAATTGCTGAATTTTCAAACAGCCTGTCGAGGGTCTTGGGACCCAACAAGGTGGAGGAGAATGAGTTACAAGGACCTAATTACCGCTTCGCCGCGCATCCCGATCAGGAGGTCGCGTGCATGCTCTCCGTGGAGAATTTCCTTCTGACGGGAACGCGCGGTGAGATATCAGGATGGGACTGGAAGATGATTACGTCGAATAAGGCTCCCAAGAGTAAAGTTTGCTGGAATGTACAAATTCCTGCTAATAAGTGAGTGAGAGTGAGAGGATATAATTTAAGTAGAATGTATTGATATGTTGAAAATTATTTAATTGGAATTGTAAAGTTTACACATATGTATCTGCATATTTAGGACATAGTATAGAGCGTGTATGTATCTCTTTTCAGAGACAGTTATGATAAGCCAGACATCAATTACATGGTATATTCAAAAGTGAATAATTTATTGTACGTTGGCTGCGGTGATAATAACATTTACGTCATAAATATAGAAGACAGAAAGATTCTGAGAAGCATGCAGGGCCACACCGATTACATACACTGCCTCGCCATAATGTAATTGCCTGACAGATATATTGCACAAAAGTACATAGCACGCCGGCTATTTTCAGAATTTACATTTTTGTAAATTTCAGGGACAATCAGCTTGCGTCCTGTAGCGAGGATGGTTCTGTGAGATTGTGGGATTTGCGCAAGAAAGAGAATACTAATATATTAACGCCCCATTTAGTGGACAAAGTTGCTCGACCAAGATTTGGAAAGTGGATTGGCGCTGTTGATTTCACCGAAGACTGGTTGGTAAGTGACAATAACACATTTATTTGTAATTTAAAGAGAAGAGGGAGAAGCGCGAAAATAAAACAGGGATAGAGAATTGCACCTAAATTAATATTTTCTTGACTGCACACTGATGATTCCTGTATTACAGCTGTGTGGCGGCGGGCCTAGTTTATCATTGTGGCATATGCGAACGATGGAGGTAGCGACAATTTTCGATCTGGCCGATCAGGGAATCCACGTAGCAGAGATCTACGAGGAACGCGTGATTGCTGGCGGCGCGACCGATCATGTTCATCACATGACGTATCAAGGAGAAGTTCTGGCCAAAGTTCCCACTTCGAATCTCACCGTCTACAGTGTGGTACACCAGGAAACGCCACACAAGGTACTCAGCGTAGCCGGTTCCTCTAACTGCATCGACATCAGTACAAACTTTAATTACCGCGAAATGACGCTCAAATTTGCATAATTATTTAAACACTGCGTGTTATTACAAAGTGGAAATTTAATTTTCTAACAAGGATTTTGATCCTTTTTCAAATTTGGATGGATGAAATGGACATAATTAATTTGCCACATTTCCAATATTTTAAATAAATATATTAATTAATTAAGTATACAATTGTATTATATATATACGATACGATTCTTCTTTTGTACAAATATACAAGCGATATTTGCGTGATCAGATACGAAGAGAGATACGCATGTATTAGTCTTTATAATTACACTTTTAACACTGCTTTTTTTTCTTCTGCTGAAATAAAAATGAACAAAATTAAAGAATTAAAAATTATAATGAAAAGTAACGAAGAATCATTAATACAAATCATACATAACGTATCCATTCTACGCTTACACAATTACATGACAAATATGAAATAGGAGCAGCGTAAAAGTGGTTAAGACAGTCAATGTTCATATATATTCTTTTTTTCATCTTTCATCTATAAATTAAAAAATTACAATTAACATTTCTTTAATATATAAATACTGATTTTGTGGTATCACATTTGTGAAAGAACCTTTTTACTTCCAATACAATTGTTATTCCAAAAATGGGACCAAAGTTCTTTGTATCGCAATTACGTTAATTAATTCGAATCTACTCGAGTAATTTGGCAGTATTCTAGGTAATATCGCTTCTAGAGTGCGACATGACTTCTTCACAAAAACTTTCATAAACGAGAGAGATTATCCTGTAAACGAGTATCCCTCCGATTGGAAAGAGTCAGAGGAAGCCGTGACCGGCAATGACCGCGGGGATAAATCCCTCCCTGCCATCCCTGGAGCGCACCCAGAACCAATCGTTCGTGTGATCGCTCAACAGGGCAACCACATCGCCTTTCGAAACTGTCAGGGCATTTGCGGCACGCGCCTCGTAGTCATTTCGGATCACCAGAAGCGTATGTCGTGAGCCTTTGGTGCGTGCGTTCGCCGCTGCCCTCAGGTACAATCGATCGACACTGCGTTCGCCGCATGCCGACACCGCGTCTCTTGGTCCCCGTCTCATTCTGCTGCTGCGCCCCCGACTCGCCCCGCACTCGGACCTGGTGTCACGCAGCTTCTCCATGTCCGTCATGTTTCCTGAAGAAAACGAAAGAACCAATTAGAAAAATTGGAAATGTGAAGGTGAAAGTTTTTAAGGAAACATGTACTTCACGTCTAGTTGATAGAAAATCCTGAACAAAATTAAACAAAGAATACGCGCAAATTAAAATCCAAATTTTGCTCACCTAATGGCCGGGGAAAAACATCAGTGGAGTCTTCCCAGCATGGTCCTCGCGTAGATTGCGGCAAGATGCCCAAGGGCAAACAAGCGGCGTAGCCGACGTACCCCTCTTGTCCGTGAGGCGTTTGCACGTATAACCAGGTTTGGTTCTTGAAGACGGCGTTCACGACTGTGCCCAGAGGAAGAGCCATCTCGTCTTGTACGCCGCCTTGAGTTTGATATAATACCGATGGAAAAGACAGGACAACTGGAATGTTTGCTGGCCTCTCTATGGACGCCTAAGATTACAATTGGAAATTTTATATCTCTTACAAAATGTTCTAAAAGCGTAAAACCAAAGAGACACTCTCTGGAGTTATTATTTTATTATTTTATTAATATATGTGTAGTATGAAAAACTTCATATCGTTGATATAACGCTTAAAAATTAGAAGCGATATATCGATTAGTAAATCTTTATAAAATATTTTATTACAATAGCAAAATTTGATAATGAGATAAGATAGAAAATAAATAAGAGATGTGAAGCACCTTGGTCAGAAACGCATCGAGATCAGCGATCTCATAGCCGAATCTACTTGGCAATCTCGGTTTGTGCGAACGTTTGGTCCGCCTATGCCGATGCTTTTCTCGTCCATTTGGTGTCGACGTTGATTCGCGAGACACTAGGGAAGGCTCGGATATGGCTCTCTTCACTTTCTCCTTTTCTTTCGTATCTTTGAGACCGATAAATTCTTTGTCAAAGTGCTTCTCCTGAGGACTATCCGACTGCTTCTCACCGAATGTCTCTTTACCAGTAGTCTTTGAAAAGAACATTTGAAAGCAATGAAACATACTCGAAAATAATAAACTTAAAATAATAGAAGAGTTTATTTGTGAGAGAAAAGTTTATATTCCAGATTGGGGAAAGGATTACCTTTTCGATTCTTTCGATCTTCTGGAGCCTGTGCAAAATCTTTTTCTCGCGCTTCTCGACGCTCTCCTTGTTCTCGATATTTTCCTTGCTAGCAGCGTCTTTCTCCTTGACACTTTTAATACTTCTTTTCGAAGATCTCTTGCTGCTTCGCGAAAAAGTATCTCGATCATTGTTTGTACCTGTTAAGAGAAATATTTGCACAACTTTATTAGCATATACGTATAAGCTCAGTGAGAAATGATTCGTCGATCGATGTCGAAACGATGTCAAATCGACTGCAATTGACGGTGTCGATGTCGATTCGGTATCGTTTCGACATCGATCGACGAATCATTTCTCGCTGAGAAGATAACACATGATATTCTTGCACTTTTATGTTTAAAAGACTTGATATTAAATGTTTAAACGACTTTCTTATTGATATGGTCCCCGATTGGAAAATGTTTCAAATATTGTGTAATCATTGCATCATCGAAAAGGAAGAAATTTCACAATCATTGCATTAAGGTGATTCGCCAAAACGCAGCGGCTTTGTAAGAATAAAATTTCTAAATGGTATTTATCAAAAAATTGATAATCGCAATTTAGGGGATAAATAATGCACAATTATTTCGACATTTAGAAGCAAAATTGCCCAGCAACACAGTTACCAGTATAATAAATGGGGGCTGTCGATATCATTGTACTGTCCGAAGATAAATATGAAGAATAACGAATATTAAAAAAATATATATTGTTCACCTCCGCTGCCATTAATGGTCGAATAGCTGCTGGAACCCAAGTTAGATTGTTGTTGGCCGCGCAAGACCCAAGTAAGCGAGATTCTGGGGCGTAACAGGGCGCTCGATCGTTGCCCCATGCTCGTCGTCGACGCGACGTACGTTGGGGAAGGTGTCGGCGCTCTCGAGAGTGACGGCGATCGCGAGTCACCCGTCACGACCTGCAACGGGCAGTCCGCCACCAGGTCCACCGTCTGCATCGAACGGCCATGCTCCTGGAAAATATTATACATTCCCCGTCAGATCAAAATTTAATAACGGAAACCCCATCACGACATATTAACGCTCATTACAAAGTTACAAATCGTTTTTTTATTAATTAAAATTAAAACGCAACATACGGCCAATGAAGATTATCGATTCAAGTGCGTTCTCTTTTATTTGAGTTTGTTTCTAGCCGTATTGATCTTCTAAAGAAGACAGGTGCCATAGAATTTCTTTTCCTAGTCATTTTAAACGTTCGATGTGGTCTCTTTCAATATTTTCCGATTAAGTAATTATTAATCAGAAAGTTCTTCAATGTCGCCAGCGGTAATTAACAACGTCAGTGTTTCCTTGACCATACCTGACATTTTTAATAATACAGAAAATTTGTTGCAAAAAAACCCTGGCTGAGGTAATATTTTTTACAATAAATTTTCTGTATTATCAAAAACGCCAGGTATGGTCAAGGAAACACTGACGTTGCGAATAATTATTACTCGTGGGACGCGTAATGCCATGTAATGTCGCGTGATATTTCTCTATTGATACCGCGTCGCATCCCTGCATTTCTGGAGCACAACTAGCCGCTCGGAACGAAGCAAGCAGGAAGCTGTGATACGTCCCCTTTATATTATATTTGTAAGATCCTTTAAGAAAGACGTTCTTACGGAATAAATGCTTTCCTTATGCAATTTATTTACTTATCAAATTAATAAAATTCGTATGGCTCAAATGTGATAAACACAAGTGTGAAAGGAATAAAGGACTAACAGCCGTGACAGGGTGTTAGTGTCTAAATATTTTATTCTAAATTCATTGCGAAAAAATATCCCCTCAGTCAGGGTTTGAACTTGAACATGGACGTATTTACTTATATTTTTTTACTGGATTTCTAGATTTGTTTAAAAAACGCTGCATAGTTTAACGAGTAAATTAAAGATACAGTACAGAATATTTCAATATGCGGAATAATTCAAGTCCAAAATAACACGACAGAGGGAATATTCGGGTATTATACATTAATATTTAAAGAAAAAGAAAATTTAAATTGCATAATATCAAAAAAGGAGATAAAAACATATTCGACCATCGAGTCAGATTTCGGCGAGCCGGAAGGGGGTCCGGATAATTTGTACTTGGATTCTCATCCCTCCCGCCGTTAGTGGAGAAGCCGTCTCTTCCCGTTCACGCAGAAAGTGGATTATTAATGCGTCTCATGGGCGTTCAATTAACCCGCGCGGCGAGTCGCCGGGATGAATTATTTGGCGGGGTTCGCGCGGGGTCCCGGCTCGTGCTTTACCGCACCATTGGAAATTTACGCCTCTCTCTCTCTTGCGCGCGAATAAATGACCGCGGCAATATCTAAGCGTACCTTAATTTTAAGCTGATACTAATTTTTATTATACCATATACATATGTATAATGCACAGCTCACGTGGAGTTTTTTAATTGTATGTAGGCGCGTTGCATGCGTTTTAATTTAGAAGAGCATTCGCCCGGCAAGCGGGAGGTCTCAGACTCGAATCCTGGTCCTAGACCTAGCCCGTTATTTTTCTCGCCAAAATGAATAAGAGGCGCGAAGATACACCCCTATTTATTACTACGGAGTTAAGAATTACAGCTAAACAATCAGGCTGATTTAAAGGGTACATCGGTTCATTGGCTAAACATTGGCTATAAGAAAATTAAAAACTTATAGAAAGTCGAGAAGAGAAGTCACCATCAGCATTGACTAATGCACTGTACTGTTAGGGATATCAATATGTATATTCCCAACAAGGAATTATAAGTACTTCTCTCCTCGACTTTCTATAAGTTTCTAATTTGCTTATACATAGAGAAAAGAGAAAGAAAAAGTTGAGATATAATCGCTTAACATCTTCATGATACTTTCATCGCGAGTATGAGTAAACAATTCTGTATCATCGGTACCTTGAAGATTCTATCGTTGACCGACGAGGCTGGGGCAGCGGGATCTTCCCTTGAGATAGCTACAGCCTCCGTTTCCTCCAATTGACGGTCGATCTCGCTGCTCCAGGAATGTCGCCTCTTCAGATCTCCTAAAATAAAGAAACACAAGATTTAGATTTTAAAATTAATTTAAAAAAATAGATAGTAAGAGTAAAAATGTTAAGAATTGAATGAAGTAGGAAACGTAAACTTTTGTATGAACAATATCAACATGTGAATTTTTTAAGTATTTTTTCACTAGTTAGTTTTTGAGAACATTGTATGCAAGGAAACTTTTCGAACTTAATTACACTTTCATTTTTACAACGGCATACACACAATTATGTACACTTATCCCTCGATTTACGCAGTTTGTACAGAAAACTTTTATACAGAAAACAAAATTTAAATTATATAGGAACGTCGCCCTTTTTAGCATAGTAACAACCTTCATGGTAACTGATATTGATCGACCACTTCGACATTTTTGTATCAGAATTTTCCTCTTAAAATTTTCTAAAGAATCTGTGATTAAAAGGATATCCGGTGGTTGTAGTACACCCTGTATATCACGGGCTTTTCTCTTACATATTTTTTGTATTAGCAGATTTATTCATGCGATTCTTAACCGCACAGAAGGCCATATGGAACGAATACTCCGCATAAGTTGAGGGACGAGTGTACGAATATATAAGGGGATCGAAAGAGTTAAAAAATTATCTATATACAATTTTGTTTATTTCTTATTTAAAAAATTTGTTTATTTGATTTAAAAAAAAACGTTTTACGTAAAAGTTAAGATACCTCATTACTTGCCTTTTCCATAAACTTAGATAAAATACGCCGTAATAATAGGAATGCAAAGTATCGCAGAAATTTGATGGATCGATTTTCGATCGACCAACAATAATTTCTATGTATTGTGATTTGCGTGCCTCGACTTGGCGTTCCTCTCAAAGCCGAGGATCTCGAGAAAACATTTCGGGGCCTTACACGCACGGGGATAATGGACGAGAGAATGAGCTCGCTGCTTAAACACAGTATTCGAGTCCCGTGACTTATGGGATTCGATCGGACGTGGCGTACCGTAGGGCCCGTAGGGGGGACCCCAACCTACGAATTTGCTCGTTTACTCGCATCGGCGGAATGCCACGGCGATGCGATGGAAGACCCGTTCCTTCATGGGAAACGAGCGGGCAATCGCGGACGCCGCGCGCCAAGATTTATCGATCTCGCGCGATCCCAAAGTCGATTACGTCAGTTGGATCCACGATCGAGCGAGAATATGACGAGTAAGAATCCGCGGGCAGGAATACCGCGATACTCCGAAGCTGTCTGGGATTACAGCATTGCGTTACAGCGTGAAATCAAAGCACGTTGTTAAATTAATGTCTGTGATTTAATAATATTGAGTCATGTAACATTTATACTTTCTAATATTTCAGATCGATATCAAATTAATGTAAAATTAATAAATTAACGCAGGTACGACACGTGTTTCGGCCGCGATGCACTTGTGCACTTCCGGACGATGGTGTCGGACCCGATTTGCACGCACGTGATCGACAAGCACGTGTGCTGCTAAAAGGTTGTCAGTGACACGCGCGTAACTTTTAATGCAGGGACAAACGTCGCAAAGTGCTTTACGGAAGGGTATAACTGCTTTTTCTAACAACTTACTATGCGTTCTTTGCGCGAAAATTAATTCTCCAATAAGATTTCATTCGTAACATTATTTTAGAAGTGAAACTCTGACAATTAAAAAATTAGGAAGATTACAACAATAATCTGCCAATTTCTGGCATCAACGTCAAGTCTTTCTGAAGTAAACGCACTTAGAGGATCAATTCTCTAGAGAGATATGCATGATGTGTTTACCCAGCTTCTCTCAATCTCACGAGACTGCCAATAGATCACGCAAGATCAGCGAGGACTTATTTCGCGATCCGTAATGAACTTTCTCGTAAACGTGACGTTCAATCCGATCCACGATAAATCCTCGTTATCCCCGAGCCCGTCGCTATCTGCCGAGCTCTTATCGAGTTTCTTCGACGCGGTCGAGAGACACGAGAGCGACTCTCCGTGTCTACCGTGAACGAATGTCGTTTGCGGCAGATGACGTCTGTGTATCAGTCGGCGAGAGAAAAAAGCCGCCGGGCGAGAGGGGAACGAGAGTTAGATGCGCCGTGCGGCCGCTTCCGCTTCTTTGGCTCGGCGATGATCGCGGAAATTCATTAACATTTAGCCACTAATCACCGCGCGATTAACCACGTTATCGTCCACATCACTTGGCATGTCGCCATCTGACGTTATCGCTGCCATTGGCCTCGATACCTACGACGAAAATATCAAGCGATTACATTTTAACATTTTTATTTCTATGCAGATGTGTACGTATATTTTTTTATCCTTGTTGTGCCTTTACATTTTATCAGGACAGCGTGGAAATCGTGAGGGATTCGCAAAACTCATTAAATTCACCGAACTCATTAAGATCAATGTTCACATCACGTCGGAAATCTTGCGACGTCATCAACAGCTTTTAATAATTAATTGTTACATATTTCATCTATTAGATATTTAGCGAGTCAACATCTCATTGATATTTTATGCTTGCTCTTCACCTACAGTTAATTCACGCACGTAATTAGATGATTCGATGCAACACACTGTAACTTGGAGATTTCAATATCTCGATCGATTCTCATATCACTGTTTAGGTCAACACTCAAATGTCTCCTTCAGAAAGTTGCTTTTCAATCACGATTTTGCACTCGCACTGACTAGAAATCGCCCTCTTCGAAAGGAGAAGGTGCTAACCGCGGGAAGACAACAACTGGGAAAATAATTGAAAGGAAGCAAAAAAACGATCGATTTTTTCCGCACTTTTCAAGTTCCGGACACTGACGGCGAGATTGCAGGTGTGCTTACAGGTTCACCCACAGGTGCAGCTCTGACTAGACTAAACTCGTGCTCGTTGCGGCGCGCCGAGTAGTACTCTAGGAGAGGAAAGAGATCCGGGGAAAGAAAGCGGGATGAAGAGAGAGAGAGAGAAGGTAAGAGCCGATGCTTCGATTGGTCCATGCTTCCCGCGAAAACGGCCCGTCCAATCGCCATGACCGCGTAATTGTCGGCTATCAGGCCTCGCAAAAACGACCCCGACTTGGGCCTCGAGTCCCACGAAGCCGCCCCCTCGCCCGACGTTCGTCCGATGAACACGCACTTCCCTCGGAACATCTCCCTCTCGGCTCGCTCGAGTGGAAATACCGTTAAATATCGTCACTAAAAAGTAGATCAACGGAATTGGAATCTCCGTCGGAATCGTAGACCTGCCGCCATAAATCGGCTCATTACCGAGCGACTCTGTCTCTGACAGATGGCACACAACTATAAGAGATCTTGCTACAAATGTAACTGTGAATGTTGCTGAATTTCAGATCAAAAGCGTAAGAAAACTTAACTGAAAAGCAATTAACATATTATAATATGACGCACGTATGATTGACACGTCAATTTATTACACAAATTTTAATTATATACAAAAACATGGAGCGATTACGAAGGATATGATAAATACATCACGTCCTTCCTGATCACACCATGTTTAAGATTTCATAAACTTCTCGGAAGAAACCTAGTGTAAGTCGAATTTGTTTTATTTCGTTAACAAAGATTATGCACTTATTATTATAATTGTTGTGATTATATTCGATCACTAATCTCAATCTGATAAACTGAATAAGATATAAATACCATTGCTATTCAACAAGCTTTAGCCTCTCTTACTTCTGCTTGCGGAGAACAAGATACACTTCCACTTGGTTACATTCTTCGAAATTACAACATTTCGCTTATCCCGGTATAATTTATAATTTCACGATTTTTGCGAGATTCGCGCCCTGACGTCTCTCGTCATGCCCGAACGAATGAATAACTCTTTCGCGCGCGCGAGAGAGAAGAGGGAGGATAGGCGGTTCGTAAGTGGCGGGTCGATGAGACGCGGCGGGGTGAGGAACCGAGGCGAAGGAGGGCCTAGCGACCTCTGACCCCCTTGGGAACCGTCAAGAGCCTGAGGGCCAGCACGAGGCCGGGAAAGGGACTCGAGAATCCGACCGGGACCCACCCGGTCCAAAATACTTGCACGCCGGTTACATCGCCGCCGGCGTAACCACCGGCCGGGCCCGGCGGGCCCCGATCGGCGAATTAATTCGTCGCGAGAAACAATCGGGTTCCAGAGAGCCGGCGTGTGGTGCTAACCAAATCGTCTTAATCAAATTGACATAGTGAAAAGGAAAGTAATATTGTACAAACGGCAGGAAGTAACGCGAGAGAAGAGTCAATATAGAGACGAGTCGTATTTCTCAAAATTTATTTTAAAAATATGCAAAAACCAGATGTATCCAATGTATTCTTCTACATCTTTGTACACAAAGTGTTGGAGACAAAGGATCTAAAACTTGGAAAACATGTAACACGTGGCCAAAAGAAGTAAAAATGCCCGAAAAAGGTGTCAAGTCGAGAAATAAACTATATCGAACGCAGGTAACTTTACTTGCATTCATATTTCTTTTCAGATAAATCGATTCCTTTAGGCCCGGTTGTGAAACCGGACCTCAGTCAATGTATAAATAAAACTGTAAAAAAGTAATAAATACCTAAAGTTTTAGATCCTATATTTTGTCACACGTGTTTTCTATTAATCTAATTTATCTTAACCATTCATTAACGGAAAAGGATAAGCACGATGACATTCCCTATATTTAACGCTAAAGCGGATATTTCTTTTTCAACAAAACGAGTCGTTTCGATCAGCCTAAAATGGAAACTTTGTTCGGCTGAAGTCCCCAGCGGAAGTCTCATCAAGTTTTTCCGACCGATACGAGTATAAAACGGACACCGAGTCTCACGAGTAGCTACGGGTCTCGGCTCTCATCCTGGCTGGCGCGTACATATTTTCACCTTGATCCTGGGCGAGAGTAAGGATTTAAGAGGGACGAGAAGCGAGCGAGGGGCAGAAAGCGCGTGAGCGTGTAATGGTGATTGAATGCGGCTAATGGCCATCCCGTACGGGACTTTCCATACAGCCCCGCCAAGATATACGTTATGACCG